GGGGTGCTGCCGCCCAGCCGCACCGGGCCGGCCCGCAGTGTCCCTGCAGCTGCACGGGGGCCGCATCCTCCTGCGCGACGAGACCCCCGCGCTCCCGCGCTGGCCATGCCCGTCCGCAGGGGGCTGCAGCACCCACAGCGGCGCTCGGTGCGCATCCCGCCCCGTCCCAAGAAGCACAGCAGCCGCGGGGCTCCAATGACAGAGTTTATTAGTGGCCTCACCTCCACCTGCAGACCGAAGCAGCCGGCGCTCGCCGGGCGCGCGGGGAGCGGGGAGCGGGGCCGGCGCTGCCCCGCGCCGCCCGCCCGCCCAGCACCGCACCACACATAAATACAGACGTACGGATAACAAAAATAGCATTAGAGTATTCACAAATGAATAAAAACTACTCGGGTATTTACAGCAGAGCGCGGGCGCCACGGGCTCTGCCGCTGTCCCCGGCCCCGCGCGCTGACGCGTGCCGGGCGCCCCGCTGCCCCTCGCTCTGCCCTCCTTCCCGCTGGAGCCGCTCGGCCTCCCGCCCCGGCGTGGCCTCCCCGTGCAGCCTCCAGCCGGCGGGTGACAGTGGCCGGACAGGAGGGGACACGAAGCCGGGCAGGGGACGCGGGGCRCGCGGAGCGGCTGTGCGCTGTCCCGCTGCGCTCTACATTCAGCGGGAGGACGAGGACGGGGACCAGGAGGACAAGGAGGGGGATCCCTTCCACCGGGCGCAGTCCTGACCCTCGGGGACGGGCACAGGGGTGACCCGGGGAGGGAGCCGGGGCCGGGGCTGTCCCCGCTGCCCCCGCAGCTCTCGCCGTGGGGCAGCCKCGCAGGGCTGAGCGCCCCTGGGGGCTCCGGGCCTGGACCCTCGCTCTGGCTACGGGACCTTATATTAGTGAGACACCTACACACACGCACGCACTCACACATGCAAAAATAAGTCTATTTATTCTTCTCAAAGTGACTGGGAGGACCCTGCGGTGCCGGGGCGCCCTGGGGGCAGCGCTGCCCCGCGGGGCCCTCCCGCTGCTGGTAGCTGCATCGGGCTCAGCGCCTTAAAACACAACGGGGGGGACAGGGGGCTGGGAGGGGAGGGCTGGCGGCGGCCGGGAGGAGGGCACGGCCGCGGGGACACGGGTGCCCACGGGGACACGGGTGCCCGCGGGGACACGGGTGCCCGCGGGGACACGGGCACCGGCCGCGCTCACTTGCGGCTCAGCAGGGAGCCCAGCAGAAGCACCCCGGCCACGGTGGCCCCGGTCAGGAGCCATTTGTTGAAGCTCTCCTGGCCCTTCCTCATCTCGGCAGCAGCATCATTCCCGTAGAGGTCCACGAACCGCTCCTGTGGGAAGAGAGGGAGCGTGAGCGCAGCTGGAACACGCGGCGGGGACACGGCGGGTGACAGTGGCCTTGTGCTGCCCTGCTCCGAGTGACACAAGTGCCTCTCAGTGGTGGCCAGTGACAGGACAAGGGGCAACGGGTGCAAGTTGAAGCCYGGGCAGCTCCATGTGCTTGTGAGGAGGAACTTGTGCAGCGCGAGGGTGCCCGAGCCCTCGCCCAGGCTGCCCAGGGAGGCTCCTGCTCTGCAGATCTCCCAACCCGCCTGCGTGCCCTGTGCTCGGGTGTTGGAGCTCCAGCTCCGACAGCCCAGTCCTGYCGGCCGCTCCGGCTCCGGAATCCCTGCCCTGGCTGGCAGGAATGCAGCCGCTCCGGCCCTGCCGGGCACTGACCTCTTCCCAGCCCTTCCCGGCGGGAGAGGCCCCCCGCTCCTCCCTTCCCGCGGGATGGCTCTGTCCCGCACTGCAGGCGCCAGGTGACTGCCCGTTCCCGGGAAGGCGGCTGTTGTAGCCGGAGCCCCTCTTCCCAGCAAGCGCCCCGTTCCCTGGTAATTAACCGCAGTTCCAGTAACGGGGCGGCTCTGGGCGAGCAGATAAGGCCCTGCCCGCGGCCGCGCGGGAGCCTCAGCCCGGGCTGCCCTGCTCGGCTCCCCGGCGGCTCCCGTGCCTCCGAGCTCCTTCCCTGCTCTCGGAGCAGCCCCGGAGCCTTGTGGCTTCACCCCAGAACGCAGGTGCCCGGTGGCCCCGTGGCACTGAGGAGCCCGCGCGAGCCCCGGGGCTCTCAGCCCGTCCTCTCCGCTGTCCCCGTCTCTGTGGCGCCGGCTCCTGAGTCCCCGTCACCCCCTCGCGGATGCTGTAAGGGGACCCCAGGGGGACGCGGGCGCCGCTGGGGACCCGCTCGTCCCCATGGCGGCCTGSCCCCAAGTCCCGCTCCGGAGCACGACGCAGGTCCCAGCCATTCCCACGGGCTCCTACGGGACCTCGTGTCCCAGCCCGGCACAGGCGGAGGGTGCCGGGCGGCCCCTCCGGCTCCAGCGCTTGTCCCTGCTGTCACCCCCCACCTAGCACAGGGCCAGGGGGCCCCAGGAGAGGTGACAGMCTCCCTGCAGAGGTGACAGCAGGCGCTTTGAACGGCCCCAATAGCAGCTGCTTGGGTAGAGAGCAGGGTGGCTCCCAGCTTGGTCCTGTCCCGGGAAGGAGGCGGCGAGGAGCGAGTTCCTGCACGAGAGCGAGGGAGGGAGGCAGGGAGGGAGGCCCCTTCCCGGCCAYGGAGGCTCCTCGCAGCCCGGGAAGCCCTTTCGGCTGACACGAGGTGACAGGCGGCAGGAACAGTGCAGGACTGCGGGGCTGGGTGCGCAGAGACGCAGCRGGAGCACAGGCTGCTCCGGAGGGACCTTTGGAGTGTCCCCAGGGTCCACACACGGTCCCCCTGCCCTGGGGCCTCAGCGGGGAAGCAGAGGCCGCGGGTCCCGCGCGGCGCCGCTTCCCAGAAGCAGGTTCGGGGCCCTGGCTTCTAAGAAAAGGAAGCGCTTGCTGAGCGAGAGATWAATGGCACGGGGCGAAGCGGGAGCTATCGGGCGCTCCAGGCGGAGCAGAGCCCAGGACGCGGCGCGGGAAGGGAGGGGACACAATCCGGGACACGGAGCCCGGGCGGGAGCTGCTCCCTTCCCTGGCTGATCATCCCCAGAGCGCAGCGGCTGCGGGGCCGGGAGCTCCGCTGCGGCCCCTGGGAATAACAGGGGTGGRAAAGGAGGCCGGAGCCTCCGCTGGGAGCGGGCGGAGGCCGGGAAGGCCGCGCTCCCAGCCCGCCCCACGCGCTGCACCTGAAGCCCCGGCCGCGAGCAGCGACGCCGACCTCTGGGCCCTGCGTTGGGAGCGCAGGCTTGTCCAGACACGTCCGGATATTTCCAGCCTCCCCCAGTCACCTTTATCTCAGAGGAAATATTTGGAATTCCTGAGTGGCTCCGAAGGAGGCCGCTGGGAGCAACAGCACGTTACCGTCCCATCGGGACGGCCTGTTCCAGCGCAGCCCTTCCCGCCCGGCACGCGCCCCATGGGAGGCTGCTCCAACAACGGGAAGCAGCAGCAGGTTGTGCTGGACAAAAAGCAGTCCCTGGATGTCACTTGTCCTGCTCTGGTGCTGCTGAGGGACACTTCCCTACGGGGCCAGGCTGTGGGGCTCCCTATCCCATTCCAATGGGATCTCCACGGCCCATCTCCAATGGGATGCAGCACCCGGAGGCCAGGCACCCACTCCATAACTCCGTTGTCACYGGAGCGGGGGCAGGTGACGTCCTGCTATACCAAGAGCCTCCGGCTGCTGCTCATTCCGGCCTCTYGGAAGCGCGGCCGCGCTTCCGAGAGGCCGGAATGAGCAGCGGCCGCGCAACCGGAGCCGGGGGGTTTGGGCCGAGTTCTGCTTTCAAGATCAGCCGCTCCGCTCYGGGAAGGAGGCTGCGAGGAAGAGCGCGGGCAGGTGGAGGAAGCAGATGGGAGCAGTTAATCCCCATCTGCTCTGCTCCGGGCCAGGGCACGGGGAAGGAGCCAGTGGGTGGAGGGGAAGGCAGGAGCTCGGGGCTCCCCTGGGATCACCCGGATGGCAGGTTGGGAGCGCGGCCTCATAAAGGGAACCGGTGGCACTTGGGGCACCGAGCGGGGCTCCGCGGGCGCACGGTGACCGGCAGGAYGGTGCGGCCCTGCCCGGGCACCGCGGCCAAGGAAACCGCTGCCCACGGCTGCTCCGGCACGGCTGTCCCATGGCGGGATGCGGGGGGATGCGGAGCGGTGCTGGYGATGGGCACTGGGGATGTTGGGAATGGCACTGGGGACAGGCTGTCTCGCTGGTGACCCTGGGGATGGGCCAGCTCATTGGGGACGTGCTGGCTGGCTGGGGATGGGTGGGCTCAGTGGGGACACTGGGGACAGGCTGGCCGGTTGGGAATGGGCGGGCTCAGTGGGGACACTGGGGACGTGCTGGCTGGCTGGGGATGGGCGGGCTCAGTGGGGACACTGGGGACAGGCTGGCCGGTTGGGAATGGGTGGGCTCAGTGGGGACACTGGGGACGTGCTGGCCGGGTGGGGATGGGCGGGCTCAGTGGGGACACTGGGGACA